TGAAAATGACCTTACGGTATCATGTACCGTAAGGTCATTTTCAAGGCAAAGACCCCATATATTATCATATCGATAAAAGCACATACGCACGTGCATGTACGCAATAGACCTTTTGTCTTAAGGTTAAATTGTGAATTGCTTCGTTAAAAAGCCCATTTAACCTATTTAATTCATTCTTAAGTTTAAATTGTGAATTGCTTCGTTAAAAAGCCCATTTAACCTATTTAATTCATACTTAAGGTTAAATTGCCGTTAAAAAGCCCATTTAATCTATTTAATTCATTCTTAAGGTTAAATTGTGAATTGCTTCGTTAAAAAGCCCATTTAATCTATTTAATTCATTATTAAGGTTAAATTGTGAATTGTTTCGTTAAAAAGCCCATTTAACCTATTTAATTCATTATCAAGTATTTCGATTTCACCGTCCAACCTACTCACTTCATTAATATTCATTTCGTTGAGAAAATATTCCCTTTCATATTTCAACATATTTACAATAAGCAATCCGTTTATTTTATGGTAAAGTTCTCTCTTTTCTTCATTTAACCGATGGGTTTCTTCATGGAACCTTTTTATGCATGAAGCAGCTTATGTAATATAAATCGATAAATGGTAAATTAAACATTAAGGTGAAAATTTGTTATTGATGTTATTGGTATTCTATTCGATTACAATCATATGATCCATTTTATGTGGATATAATTTTTTGTTCAATATACTGTATATTGTACGTACAATAAGCTATAAGTCGAACTGGAATAAAAATTCCATTGCGTATAGTGAATTATAAGATTTCATAAAATTGCATCAAGCTACTCTTATCATGTGCATATTGATTGGTTGCTCAGACAAGAATTCATTACACGAGGTAAGTATAATCAGCAGACCAAGCAAAAGCATGATTGATTGTAATCGAATGAAATAAATGGTTAATATTACATTACCATTTAGTAGTAAGTCAGCCTTGGACGCATTGTTACTTGCGTATAGTGAGAACGCGAGAGAATCAGAGTACTTTGTAATTAGAATTTAGCTTGTCACGTCCCTTCTGCGAAGAAACTCTGGCACGTTCTTTACTAACTCGTTCACTGTAGTTATTAATGAATGAATAAGCGTATTGATTATTATTAAAATATTACTATAAAAGATTAATTATCTCAATACTATATAATATTCTTATTTCAAAGGAGGTGAAAATTTCCATAAAACTCATACAAAAATAATCAATTGGTTCACATGGATAAGTATTTAATCCACTGGTTCTTTATACATCACAATTTTCTTCAAAAGCTAATCAAAAAAATTTTATAATATAAAATAAAAGTTATTAAAGATTACAAGAACCAATTGATTAATTTGCATGGCTAAGATCCAAGGCTAATGATTTTCTGTATTTCACGGAATGGTGTAGAAATCTTGGAATCAGACGAAATACAGAAGGTAGGATTTATAATTTTTTGTAGGTACCAAATCCTAAAGATTTAACTTCTGAAAAGCCCTGGTGTAGAAAATAAACGAACTAAAATATGCGCGCAATCGCGGTATCTAGGCATAGACAAGGAAATTTTTGACAAGGAAATATTCGAGATCAAAATTTCAATCAAATATACTTCAACAACCATTGGACCAAATTTGATGAAAATTTAGATTCTACAGATCTGTAGAATTTAAATAAAAAAATATTCATCAAATTTGGTTGAGATATATTTGATTGAAATTTTGATTCCTTGTCCCCGCGTAAGGGTACTCGCTGCTCGCGTGGGGATTAAATTTTTGATTGACCCGAAATAATTCGAAGAGTAAGAAATAAATAGCAATAATTTTGTTGTAAAACATTCGAGGCTTCTATTATAACCAATGTTGAATTCATAATTTAATGCGCGGAATTTTGCAGAGTTTGATTTATCACAGATCGAATCGACAATTTGTCACCGCAGCAAATCATCAGTCCTGCTAAGATCATTCAAGCTCGGTTTATCCAAAAATACCTGGAGGATTTTTGATTTCTGATAAATAAAATTCTGACAGGCTTTTACGTATTTGGAATATGCGTATTCGAAGTAAGCTATTAAATAAAAAAATTTTATTTTAGAGTATAAAAATAAAAAAAAAATTTTTTATGTACGCATGCAATTGTGTTGAGTGGCATAAATAGAAGGATTCATACGGTATATCCCCCACATGAGCTGGGGGAATACATGTCGCAGAAATACGGTGTATAGAAGTTTTATGATTGTAGTAAAGCTAAACTTCAATAACATATATTGTGTACTGTAATTACAAAAATAAATATTCGGCGTTTTTACTTAACTGGATACTTGTCTACGTAGTCATCTAACGTATGCATGAATGTGCACATTCATGTTATACTTGAAACTATATACTATACTACATGTATCTATGCGCGCATGATTCACATTATGAGAGGTTTGTATTTTTCCTTAGTTGTTCTTTCACAGCAAATTCATGCTTAGAGTATATGAAATATATATACTCTAAGCACGGTTTTATCGTGAGAGAACCCTTCGTACTACTAATGAAAGCGCCTACGTCCATCTCATTAATAAAACTAGGTAATACTGTAAACTAGGTAATTCTTAGGATACCTAGTGTTTTAAATGTAGATTCACCTTGCTTGTACTACCATGATAACAAAAAAGAAAAGTAGCTAGCCTTTTTAAGATTTAAACTTTTTCATGCCTCATCGTCATCGCCATCGCCATCGTCATTGTCAAATATTTAAAAGAGAATGGACTTATGGACTTCCATAAATGGAAATCAATTATAATTCAATTTTGCTGAACAATAGTTTTTTTCGTTTGCACCATACTTGATTTCTATTGACAGCAGCATAAATGCGTACCCAACTCTCCTAGCATGACGATTTTGATTTCTATTGACAGCAGCATAAACGTGTACCCAACTCTCCTAGCATGACGATTACTAGTTAGTTACATTGCTCTATTATAGTGATTACGTACAAGTATAACTATAAGGATCTTGTGATCATGAAAATCTCTCAATGAAAGAAATAGTTTAAAAGTACCGATCAAATTTTGTAATTATGATATAGAGAACTTGCAACAAACAAAATATCCTCAAAAAATTAGTTGAAATGGGTTCTAGATTCATTATAGATGTTTATTATAATATGCATGAATTTGTAATCATCGTATACTGTAATACATTTTTCACTTTACTTCCAAGTTAACGTATATTCAGAAATTCATGCTATGCAATCATAATTCGTTTTTTAAGAAAAAAAAACTAATAAATCTCTTCTAAAAAAAAGTGAAAAAGTTAAAATAAAATAAGTTTATTATTATTATTATTATTGTTATTATAAATCTAACGATGTCACAAAAAATTACTGATCCAACAATTATCCTAACAGTAAATATTGTATTTATGATAACTGTGCTTAGTACTCCACAAAACCATTTTGAATCAAATATTTCAAATATTTGATTCGAATTTGACTTTTGTGGAGTACTAACTATGCTATACAGTTGCTATTTCTAACTTTTATTTAGTACGTACGTAATTAGCGACGTAAAAGACAGTAAAATGGTAACTTTAGATGACGTTAACTCCTTCTTTCCAAAAGTTTTGATTTCCCTTTCGAAAAAGGCAATATCTCTATAGCATTTAAAGCTACTCAAAACAAACAAGAAATTGTAACTGTTAAAGAATGGCCTTCTTTTTTGAGAAAGTTTTATAGTTCAACAAAGAATTGCAATCAAGTGGTTCATGAATGAAAAAAAGAATAACCTTAGACAAATCGTCTTTAAGCAAGTATCCATATACATATCTGATATATATGAAGGAAACTGTATTTCTAAGTACTCTATCTACTGTATTTAATTTTCAAGAATTTTAAATTAGATTTTGTAAACTTAATTCCTTAAGGAAATATACATATTTTATGAGTTATTTTTTATTTGTCTTTAATAGAATTTAAACAATTTATTCAACTGAATAATATTTCAATTCGTTGACATTGTAATTAAATAATTGAAATTTAAATCGAAAAAATCCAATTATCTGTATTGTGCAAGAGTGTTAAAACTAAGTGGATTACAATGAAAAAATTTTAATTCCTCATATTGTGACAATTAGGTGCTCGTTATTCTTGAATAGCGAATTTTATATAAACCTGCGTTTTCTATATACTGTATTAAAATATATATATCAAAATGAAATTAACAAAATTAACAGTCGATTGTTATTTAGAAATTATCAAAAACTTTGAATATGATCATCACACTTTATATAACTGTCTTTTAGTTAACCGCTTATTTTGTCGCATAACAGTGCCTTTATTATGGGCTGACCCTTTATATAATGTATCTAACCATTCTATAAATATCATATCTATTTATCTTTCCTATCTTAATGAAAATGAAAAATATCAATTGACTTCGAATACGTATCAAGTTGATCTATCATGTATTTTCCAAAAAAACATTATTTGAATATGCTGAATTTTTAGAGACTTATTCTAGCTGCAAGATAAAAAATATCATCTCATTGTGGTATCAATATACTCAAGATATATCTAAGCCTAGTTTAGAAATTCCAACTTTTATGACTATCCAAAGCATGTTGTTTCGAAGTTGTAAGTGAATCAAGAAACTCAACATTTTAGCCGAAGATAACTCATCATTTTCTTTAATCCCTAGCTCATGGTTCAATTCATCAGAATTGAGAGAATGCGAATTTAAATTTGTTGTTCCAAATAGTCAAAACATGAATGTATACAATTATATTAACTTAATTTCTATAAGAAACAAAAGAATTCAAATTATTCATATTATTACTTATAATGAAGATATACTACCAAATTGTCAAGAACCATTTTTAAATTTAATTAGCACTCAAACTGAACTCAAAGAACTTGTACTAAAATATTTTATAATTACCACTTCTAGTTTTACACCTTTACTTCGACGTGAAATGCTGCAAGCAAAATCTCAAAGCCTTAGAAAACTAATTTTGCAAGGAATCAAATTTGATAAAGATAATCTTGCAAATCTTATGCCAAACTTGGAAGTTTTATCAATAAAACATTCTTTTAAAAATCCTTTTGGAGAACATGAAAATAATTTACAAAATCTTCAAAGGCTCGAATTGATAGATAATACTTTAGAATTAAATAGAATTATACTTAAGACAAAATGCAAATCACTAAAATTTTTTATAATAAATGAGAAGGAATTAAGCAATAAAGTGAAAGAGGAAATTATTTTTTTGCTTAGTCAAAATCATCCAAACATAATTACTTTATGTTATGTGACTAATAATCTTATGTTCTCTTCTACACTTGAAAATTTCATAGTTTTTGTCAACTACAAATAGGAGAATTTGCTTATGATGATCTACCTTATAGTAGACAAAATTATCTACAAGCTTTGATCAAATATTTGCCTTGCTCTTTAAAAATTCTTAGCTTACTTAATATTTATGATTATAGTTACAAAAACTTAAATTGTTTTTTTAAAGAGTTTGATATAGAAAAGGTGAAGTTAGAAGTTTTTATATTACCTTTTAATGTTGAGCTTAATTTACTTCCCAATTTAAGAAAATTTATTGAAAAAGCTAAATATTTAAAATATATAGAAATAGTGAGATCAAAGAATTATAACGTAGAAAAACAAAAAGACAACGAAAGAGAAATAATTGATCTTTGTCATGTTAGAAACATCAAATGCGTATTAAAATTTCAATTAGAGACATATAAAGATTATTTTTGTACTTATGAGATAAAATTTGAATCCTACATAGAATAACTAATGTTTAGCATTCATGACACTTTCCAAATAGCATATTATTTGTGACTTTGGCAATGGGAAAATAAATTTGTTTAAGATGAATAAGTATAATTCTAGAATTCAAGATCTTGATAACTATAAACTCAAAAAGTCAAAGACCCAATGTCATTAGAATTAATGTTGACAAAGATACCGGGTTTTTAAATTATTTATTTTGAATTTTCCTCTTAATGCCTTTAAACTTCCTGCATCAAATGTCACAAAAGCATCAGTTGCGTAAATTTCAATTTTGATCTTTTCAGTCCATCACTTTCGTTTTTAGCAGTGAAAGGATTTGGTCCATTTTTTACAAGTAGTATTTTTATCAATTTTTTTGGTAATAAGTAAATTAGAGTGTTCAGTGTCCAGATTATGTTGTTTTAATTCATTTTTTGTTGTTTAAACAATAGAAAAATTGCCGAAACATAAAATAAAGAAATTTACTATCTTTACCCATAGGGGTATAATACCCAGTATAAAGTTTATATAGAGCCCTATATATATATATTAAGGTTAGGGTGTATTAATTTAGAGTGTCCAAATTATACCTTTTAATTATAAAAATCTTCCTAAACCAATAAATGCTAATCCAGTAGTTCTAGGTTAGAATATTACTCAATTAAAAATATTAGCTTTAAAATAATATTTTTTCATACTTATTAACTCTTGTACTTGTTTTAGTAAGCAAGCCCATTGAACACCCAGATTTTGAGTAATATCATTTGTCATGGAAAGTAGCTAGGGTTTTTTACAATCTACACTGGTTTTTTGATCTATATCTCTAGATATACTATCAAAGACATACAGTCAAACCCCTCTATAATCACACCTTTGGAATACAAAAAACTGTGATTATAAAGAGGTGTGACTAATATAGAAGTATTTTCAATATAGTTCTAAATAATTCTGTAATTGATAAAAATAAATTTGTAATTATATTAATTTTGTAACGATAGAGGAGGTTATTATATAGGAGTTTTACTGCATATGATTACACTGACTTGCTTTAAATGTCACGTTTATAAATTCAGCTTGACACACCCAAGTCTTTTACAAAATATACAAGCAATAGATCTGGTAAAATATTCGGTATTAATTAAAGGGGTATCATCAATAAGGATGTATTTTTAATAACATGTTAAAGATTGTAAAAATTTCTTATATCAAGTTTGTAATCATTCAAATATAATACCATTAGTTATAAAGCTAAAATAATATATGAAAATATGTTATACTTATTGTAAAAAACAACTAAATTTGCACAGGGTTACATGGGCGAAGGCCATATAACATTAATTCGTGCAAATTTAGTTATTTTATAACCCGTATAATAATTATCTTATTGCATAGCGTTTGACGTATAATCCTGTGCTAATAAGTAAATGAAAAAAGCACAGGTTGTTATATAATGATAAGACCCGTGCAATAAGTGTTGTTAATTAGCTATGTAGTGAATTCTTATACTAATTTCAAAAACAATAGAATAGTAAACAATACAATGTGAATGATTTGTTAAATTATATAAAAATAGCACTTTCAACAAATCCCGTGAAATGCACAGGATTCGTTAAATTCACTCTACACACCGTGTAGAGGGAATTTAATAAAAAAAAAAGTCAACTGTGGAATACTGAAAACAGAAAAAAAAACCCGAACCTAAGAAATAATTAAATGCTAACAAATTATAATAATTACAAAATATTAAAATCTATCGAAAATTACCTATTAAACAAGGATATACTGTAACCTTTTGAAATGATAACACCGTTGCTTCGATTTAGGTGTCATCGAGGAACTGCTAATGAAATTGTAAAATGTTTTGTATAATTTATAAAGGAAATTCAACTGAATATAGAAATCGACTAAGAAATTTTACTATCGCTCGCTATTACTAAATTCATATCGATATGAATATTCTACATGATTTGAAAAAATTGCATCACAAAAAATATAAAAAAAAACATACCAATCAAATTGACAAATCAAATTAATCTAGATAAGTATTATTTTAATTGCCAGATTAACTTTCTAATTGTACGTATATTTACTATTACCATTACCGCTACACTTCAAATTTCCTAAAACAATCAATCCATTTAGAATATAATCATCTTTTTAAAATTTTCATGAGTTTACATACTTAGCGTGTAATAATTGTAACATGCATCTTAAATTTTGGATGAGATTTTTTTAGTTGATGATATTAAAAAATACGTGACATCGGACTAACCCAATGAATCGAAAAATTTGGATAGCTGACACAGCTTTGCGAAAACGCTTAATCACATAACTTTATCTCTGCCTACTTTATGGCAGAGATGAGTAAAATACTGATGACACAAAAATTTTGATTTTTATCCAAACCTATTGTAAGATCAGCTTGATTTATAAAAATTCAAAGTAAAAACAAGAAATCACAAAAAAGAAAGTGCACAAAATTCTAGTTTCGATATTGAGGCAGACAATGATGGACGAGTTTCTTCAAACTTGATAAAGGATAGTTCCTTGAAAAGTATTAATGAAGCATTGGTAACTATAAAATTTAAGTGTTCTGTTTGTTAAGTTACATAGTATAATATTTAAAGCTTAAAAATCTTAGGACCAATCGTTAGTCACCAATAATGTTCAAGAAAATACTAGTAATAAAATAAATGATGAAATGGAGGATATATATATAGATAATAATCTGGTATGAAAGATATTAAGTGTTATAGAATTAACTAAAACATTTTTAATACTGTATATTCAATTATCAAAAAAATCATCAAAATTTAAAATTTCAAAGAGATCCATAAATCTTATTATAACAATAATTTGCAATATCTAATAATTTTTTTGTTGATGAATTCAATAAGGAGGGTGACATCATTTAAAAAAATAAAGCTCAAAATTTAAATTCGAATAATCAGGTAAGATTATTAAACTTTTATTATCTCGATTAAAATCTGGAAATATAAACTAATTAACAAATTCATAAAGGAACCAATCGACTTTGGATCAGATGAATATGATGACACAGATGAGGAGATAGGTGAAAGATTATTTGATGCTTTAGCTTCGTCATATGGAAAAAGTAAAGAAATCAGTTCAGCAAAGAGTAGCACTTACAGGAAGTCTCACGATAACACAAAGAAAAAATCTAAAATAAATAAGGTGTTCAAAGTGGCAAAAAATAATTATGATAAAAATGATAATGTGAGTGAATAAGAATATATTTCTGTTATTAACCAACTAATAAAATAACAGTAGTCTAACATTAAGATGTAATGTTAACTAAAGCGTGGTGTTATAGAACGCATCCCTTCAATATTGACAGACGATAGTCCACTACCAAGCGAAAAAGAAGCCGTATCAGTTTTACAACTATTTCAGTTTTTCTAGTGTTGTTAATTTTATATTATAAATACTAACGCTAAATTTAAAATTTTCTAGGATCTAGGAATTAGTGAAGGCCGGTTAAGCAGTAATCATAATGATAATAAGGTGAGTTAAATTTTCCTACATAATGTCAATGATTAATTGTAAGACAGTATCTAAATTATTTTACATTTTAAAGGTCAATGAACCTGTGTCAATAGCAAGCCCTTCGAAAAGTCGACAACCCAATAGAAATGTTAATAATTTATTATCGACCATACTTTTTTTACATATGTCGGAGAAATTCTCATTTACTTTTGTGTGTCAAATTTTTAGGACGTATTATCAATCGCCTCAATTATTAATAATCAGGTAAATTTTTAGTTAACATTAGAAACTTATAGCCCTTTTTGTCTTTTTTTAAAATAATAAAAATGCTAACACGCGTATCAGAATACTGATGATAATCGAGAGGTAAGTAATTTTTACTTTTGATTCAGTTATTTTACACATTTTCTTATGTTTAATAAGGAATATAAATCCATTAAAGTATGAATCAGTCAACACACCAGCTGAAATTACTGATGTAGTCAAAAAGAATCAAGCAAAAAATATCGTGCCTGTACGTAAACATCATGTTTTGACTTCTTCAGTTCATAGAATTACCAGTACATATGTTTGTAATATAATATGTAAAAATTTACAGAAAACACAAAAATCTGGTGATCTTCAAACTGATAAGTATACAGATTTCGAAGAAATCGAACAAAATTAGGATAAATTAGCATCAAATTTGAGAAAAAAGCGCAAAAATATAATCAGCAAAACTTTTCTACCTTTGAAAAAATCCAGATTACAAGTAAATATCGTGAATAAATTTTTGCATGATGATAATTTGTAATATTGAAAACTAATTTATAATTAACAAAAGGCTAATGAAAGCACACAAAAGTCCAATGAAAGCACATTAATAAATGTTCTTATTAATGACCCTATTCCAGTAAGAATTTTAATTAACACTAACAATAATAATATTTCCTTATGTAGCTCTAATTATTTGTAATGTTTTAAACATGAGGTTGTCAATAATGATTATTATACTGAACAAAGTCCAGTAAGTATAATATAGTTAAGTTTATTTACGCTCTTACAAAAAGTTCAACTAAATAGTAGTTATATGAATCATTTCATTGTTTGTTTTAAGATCGCACAGGATCCATTACACGAAAATAGCTCACACAATAATAATCTAGTATGAAACGATTAATATGTTCATATGATTGAGAATAACGCAAAATTTTTACGTAATACTAATATTTACAAATTTTAAATACTTTTAGCAAGAGGATATCTTTAACAAAAGCAATAGCTCAATAGTATGTATATAGAACTCGACTAACTTGACTAACTTTTCAGTATTATTAATATCTTATTCATTTATTTTTAAAGACAACTGAAGATTCTATATCTGTTATTTCTGGTATATATGTTAGTTTTTTTATTGCTTTTCAAATTACACTATACAAAATATCCAAATTGAAACTTAAAATTTTACTATTTGTAATTTAAATTTTAGCAAACTAAATTTCTTTAAATCTGAAATCTAGTTAGAGAATGGATCTGGGTGTCCTAATTAATTAGATTTATTATTAGTTTTAAATTTTATGCTCAGATCCAATCTCTAATGGCTTTTTGTAACTTGAAAAGCAATAAAAATTTAAAAGTTTTTTTTATTGCAAGTTTATCAACTAATAAATTTTTATCAAACAAATAGAACAAGAGATGAAAAACAAGTATCCTGAATCAAAATTGTTAAGTATGTTATTGTTTCATTACATCAAATTTTTTCAAACTATCAACTAACAATTACTGATTACATGATTAGATTATGTAGAGTTATTGAAGAAAACAAGGGAAGCCAAAGGAATGCAAGAGAGTTTTGCGTCTCAAGACCCAAGCAATATATTTAAAATGTTTACTCAGCCTGTTAACCAATATTTTAGTAAAGTCTTGGAAGTGTCAATGGAACCCAAACCATTCCCAAAGATAATGGAGGATATTCAAAGCTGCTCTAAATATCTAAGAATTTGGGAGTTACATTATAATAATTGTGATAGATTAATCGTAATGCAGGATCTAAAAAAGTTGGAATTGATTTATTCATTAACTGAAGTATTTTTCATCATGCTAAAGATTTGTCATCAAGAACAAGTCAAAGACACGTCATTGGCGAAAAATACTAATACTTGGAAGGGAAGAAATATTAAATCATGAATGAATAAATTCTGGAATTTAAGTTTACGCACAATACTAACAAGGTGGACTAGTTGTTGGAGATTATGTCACTTTCTTTGGGTGACAAATATCACACCTAAGAAAATGGTTGAAGTAAAGTTAAAAGCAGATTTTTTTCGCAACGTGACAGAATCAGAATACAACTTCCTTGTCAAAGAATTATTAGGACAAAGTTTTCCTAATTTTTTAAATATAAAAGACGAAAAAATTTTGGATTTAGTAGAAATTGCCAAGAAATTTTCAACTGATTTAAATTTTTTTTATTATAATCATGGTGCATAATTAAATCTTAATAAAATTTTTGCTATATTGTTGTATGCTCAAATTTTATGATTTAATAGTTTAGAGATGTTGCTAAAAATAAAAAATTAGAATAAATTAAAAGCTGTTTATTCATTAATTGATTTGAATTATTTTCGTTTATTACCAATATCTTTAAAAGGTCTTATTAAACCAAATTTTTAGTTAAATATTATAAAATTTTTTAGTCTTTAAATTATTAAAATTATTACAGGTTTTGCATACCAAGTTCTTACAAACTGACAGTCAAATTCATACAAACTAACAGTCAAATTTTTTTACCATCTATTTCGAGATCGTGTACGCACAAGTATTATGATTAATAAAAATAATCCCCTAATGCTAATAATTTTAATGAAATGATGATAAAAGCAAGTTTGAACGAGTATTGTTGCATCTAAAGTAGTCACCATATGATTTTTTTGCGCATACAAAGAGCAATATTATAATTAATCTCATTTTTTATAATAAAACTAATAATGAAAAGCTTTATTTTGCTAATAAACTTCATGTGCTTCTAATAAAAGTTGTTAAAATTATAAAATCTAATTAGCAAGTAGATCGCTGAAAGTAATCAACTCTTCTTATAAAGAATTGATGTTCTAAAAAAAAGTTTAAAAATTACTGTTTTCTTAAGAAAACATGACACTTTTTATACTGAATTATTATAAAATTTTCAATATTTTCGTATTATTGACAGTAATTAAAATACCTTGTTATAATTTATATATTATGCTATATTACTAAATATACCCATTTTTATTATAATATACACAGTTCAAGTAGTTAAAGATCATGTGACTTATTTCAGCATTCTTCAGTGACTGTGACATATAAATTCATCGAATAATCCTTTTACTTCGTGACAATACGGGTAAAAAGATAAAATGCTTTAATAGATGAATTTTAATTTTAGGTTTATCTAAATTAAACTTTAAATGTATTATTCTTGTAAATTGAAATTTCAATTCACAATTCTGTTTAATCGAAATGAAATTTTTATTATAATCAAGTATCAACATCAAATGCTTATAAATTAATAATTACTCAGAAATGTACAAGAATGTTTGTTCAAAATTGTTTCAAGAGTATTATATAAAGATTTACGTATAGATTATATATATAAAAACATCGGTATAATTCATCGTCAACATTATTGTCAAATTTGCTTAAATAAGATAAATAAAAGGGTTGCACTTAAATTGATTTATGGCTCCTTCATAAATTCATTTTTTACTTAACCTAAAAATTAGGGTTCGTCCAGACCCGAATCCATTATGCTATGAGCCAAAATATTGCAATTCATTAAAAAGTTAGTATATCTTAAACTTAGTTCATTCTTCGACGGCATCCTGATGCCATCAGAAAATAAAATGAGTTCAAAATTATAGAATATTATTTGATGTGACTTTTCTTGTATTAAAACCAAGATTATGGTTAGCTAATTTTTAAAGATTATATAATGATGTCTTATCGTTATCATTGTTAAAGTGGGTTTGGGTCAAAATCCCGACAAGCGAAATTCCGACAGGTCATAATCCTGACAAAAAAATCCTGACAGCAAAAATTCCGACATCCTGACAATTAAAAATTTGATAAAAAAATATCATAAACCATAGCTAACCCAAGCCTAACCCTCATCTAAAGTGACCTAACCCTAAAGTTAATTAAATTATAAGAGTCTACTTCACTTTAAACATATCTCAGATTTGATTGTCAGGATTTTTAATTGTCGGGATTTTTTACTGTCGAGATTTTTTTGTCGGTGCTTGTCGGGATTTTGACCGGACCCAAATATAGTATAAGTTTTGAATTAAAGAAAAGACTTTCATCAATTTTAGAAACTTTCTATTTTGAATAAAATTATTGGGATAGTGTTGTTGTTGTTTGTTAATTTTGGAAGTGTTAGATATTATAATTGGGTGTTGTTATTATTGTTGTTGTTGTTAAGTATTAGAATTTATAGTTATAAAGTCGGTATATAATATAGTAGAGATATAGATCTTGAACCTTTTAGTTAGATATTAGTTTGTTTAATCAAAATATATATTTTTTTAGATTTCTTTTAAAGTTTGCAAGAGATTTGAGTAATATCATAATAGGTAATAACTCTAGTCAAGATTTGTAGATCTTTGGATATAGAAACAAGCTTGTTGAGTACTTCTTTAAGATTAAGGTTTATAATTTAGTCATTAGTTGCAGCAATTTTTAAGTATGTTTTAAAATAACTGTGGAAGTAGTATGGAAAAATTTCCGTCATTATATATATCATGCCTGCCAGATAAAACCAGTTATCTGGAATGATATGAATTCTACAGAATAATGGCAACGCACGTAGAATTTAGCCACGTGCATTTTCTATTATCCTGCCGATAACCATGTATCCGTCGCATAATGCTAGATAACAATTATATTAATTAACGATAAATCTATTTTTAGTAATAAAACTACAGTATACTGTTTTCGCTTAATCTCAATTTTATCATGTGATTAAGTGTATAAATAATAAATGTAGATAATGCAGAACCTATTTTTTGGGTGCAATTTTTTTTTATCACTACGATTTAAAGTTATTTAGATTTAAGGTTATGATTTAAGGTTAAGATAAGGTTAGATTGATAACAAGAGTATAGGTAGATTTTGATAAGTTAAGCATCAAACATTTCAACATACGATTTCAACATACGATTTCAGCATCATATAATAAATAATTACTTAATACTGTGTCACTTAAATATTAAGGATCAATAATTCTTATTTATGCATATATAACAAAGTTTAAAGATATAAAAAAACAGTTAATTAAAAGATAATAGGGTTTCTGTAGAGATTTTAGACTTAATCCAGTAATCCTATATCCTAAGCTTACTACTTGATCTGCACTTTATATGAATACCCTAAGCTTACTAGTAGCTTACTACTTCATGATCTCAAAATTGAGGATTCTCCTTAAATATGTCCTAATGTTTCATGTGAAAAAAAAAGATTTTAGATTTGATGCTGAAATTTGAATCTTAATTGGTCAAATTTTGAATAATTTTGGGATCAAATTTTTCCACATCCCTGAATTGAAGTAGCATCAAAAAAACATATGACTTTTGAACATCCTTCGTCTTTCTCCGAGCATTTCTCGCCATCTTTTTTCAGTTGGTCTATTGTAAGGACTGTTTCTATCATAATTTTTTTTTCAGTATGCTGATTCGTGTTTTTAATTACGTACGTACGTACGTACGCACTGTACGATCTTAATACGTAATAAGGGGTAAATAGGTAATATATATATATTGATGCGTAGCATCTGACTATCCCTTAAAATTTTATTGGCTCATAATCTTTAACTTATTAACCAATGCTATCCTAACGAAATAATATATTTAATGTCCCTGACATGTCTGTATGAATTTCCATTACACTTGTTGACTTAAAATGGCCGTCTCTCCTCCACAGAATTACGTTATATCGAAATTTCACATGTACGGTATACGATTAAGTTTGTACACAATCATAAATTTTAATTAAAGTTTTATAGAAATTCCTTAAACGAAATGAAAAAAATTTATGGTGAATATTCGGGCAAATTTGTAAATTTTAGAAATAGTTTATATACTAATAATGACATTTTGTCCGTGCGTTTTATCAAAAAGGCAGTATAATGCAAACAAAAAGCGATTACTAAAACATTGTCAAAAAATATTTGTATGAAGATCAATTAAACTTTTTAACTTTTGACTTTAAAACCAATCATTCATTTCTCATTTACATTAATGCATGTGGATACCAGTAATTTGCATAGATGTGTGTAAACAAACTAATCGGTGTACAATTTAATATATATGTATTTTTTTTTAATTGTTTTTTATGAACTCACTGTCGGTTCTCTCATTTTCTTCTATAAATAAAGTGCTTTGCGATTTTTTTGTCTGCCATCTGTTTTTATAATTTTCTTTTATTCAAAGCACAATATCCACGTGTCATTCATTCATTTTGGTGGATAATATGTTTTCGTCAAATAAACGAAAATCAATTTCATCTAAGTCTGCTATAGCTCCTCAGGTGCGAAATAACAATCCTTCCGCGAGAACAACCACTGCCACTACTACTAAAGCTCCATCCTTAAATGCTTCTAAACAAGAGCCGATAGCAGATGATTTCAAACCATCAGGTGGAACGGTTACAAAAACGACCACCACAACTACAGTCACTACAGTTACAACTACCACTGTTTCTTCCAAAAATGATCTTGACAGTGACAGTCCAGACCATAAGAATTTCGATCGTGATCTGCTTAAACCTCAAGATCATACCAAAGATTGTCCTAGTTCATCGACTTTAAAGTCTTCTAGGAACTCGTTGGATGAAAAGAACAATTTATCATTGAAATCAAAATTATCAACTATAAATAATAGTTTCATTCCTCCCAAACCTCCCAAACCTCCCAAAACTACAAAACCTACAAAACCCTCATCGTTACCAATAAAGGTTAATCAATCAAATCACAACGAATCCTCTTTAAATTTAAAAAATGATCCAATAATTTCCTCATCAACAAAACCCCCCATATCCTCACATGCTGAGAGTAAATCTCGAAGTAATAGAAGTTCTGCCATATATAGTTCTAATATCACTTCAGAGCCTAAAAGCAGTAGTTCTATTATCGGAGAGAGTCCTACTAAAATATCTCAAAAGCATAAACGCACGGGATCTGCTCCTATTTTAAATACTCCATCTATGTCAATGATTAATAATTTAAATAAAATAATTTCATCAAAGTCAATGGTGAATTTAAATGATGAATTTGAAGCTAAAGTTGATAGGGAGACTCCGAAACAATATCTTGAAAGAATGATGTATAGTGTTTCAAGATCAAAGTTGGTCACCATATTAACACAAAAGTGAGTTTTTTTGGTTACTGGGTCACGTGGAAACAAGTACATTTAATTAATGAATTGTTATTTTTCGTAATTTATAGAACTGATGCTTTTCATCAATCCGCACTCAAAGCTTACATGGAACTTTTTGAATTCGAAAAAGTTCCTATCGATCTTGCGTTGAGGTATATTTTTATGAATTCTAATAACACTAACATTTATATTTAATCAATAATAATAATTAACTATATATTGAAATGCGCTTTAACTAATATTAGAAAACTCTTAATGGAATGTAATTTACCAAAAGAAACACAACAAATTGATCGAGTTATGGAAGCTTTTGCTAAAAGTTATCATGAATCAAATCCTGACCTATTTCCTTCTGCGGGTAATTAATTTACTAATTACTACTACTAATTATTGCTAATTACTACTACTAATTATTGCTAATTACTACTAATTATTAAAATTATTAATACTTTTTATTTTATTTTATTTTTTATTTTTATTTAATTAGATACCCCTTATATGCTTGCATTTTCTTTATTAATGCTTCACACAGATGTCTACAATAAAAGTGTAAAACAAAAGATGACAAAGGATGAATTTGTTAAGAACACTCGCATCGATGGAGTTAATTCAGAAATATTAGAAGTAATTATCATCATTGTCGAATAACTATATTATTACTATTATTATTAATGACTAATATCAATATGATATTATCTTTATAGATTCTTTATGATAATATTATGTATGCTCAATTTATATATGCTCAGGATGATACTGATGTTAATGGTCAAACATTGCTTGGATCCCCGACGCAGCATCGTCAAATGAGACTATTTTCTTCAAAGGAACGAAGAAAATCTACACGCTTTAAAAATGATCCTTACTGGGTTATACAAACTGTAAGTTCAAATTGATCAATTTAATAGCGTTTAGAATCTAATTGGTTTATACTCTGATATATATATATATATATTTTTTTTACACTAATATAAATAGAAATTACCTACGGAATTTAAACCTAAAATCAAGGATATTGTTCCTACGGAAAATCCGTATTCTTATATGGGAACCCTACCAGCTTTAGATATCACAGATCTTCATCGTGTATTTTCTACATCTAATACAATTCGAATTACCGGTGTTAAAAACAGACGTAAAAGTCATACATTTAAAGGTACCTCTAGTCCTTTTCAATCAACTGATGATGATGGTACTTTTCTTCTAAATATAACCAAATGTGGTAAACTTGGAAGAAAGATTGATTTAATTGATGGTAAAAGGAAGAATAGTTTTGTAAGGCATTGGAGAATATATGGTGTCATATTAAGCGGTAGTCAATTAATGTTTTTTAAAGATGAAGCAGGATTCAATTTACAGATGAAAAAGTTGAATAATCCTGAGGTTTGTTTTTAATAAAGTTCCTAAAATTATTAATTTAAACATTAATTTAACATTAATTTAACATTATTTTAATTAACGTTAATATCGGTGAATTTTTTAGAAATCAACGTTACCAATCTTAAAGCCTGATGTAATACTCATGACAGCAGATTCGGTGGCAGTTTATGATAAAAATTATAAGAAACATAAAAACGTTTTTCGTTTAGTATGTCCAAAAGGACATCAATATTTATTTAAAGCTGAAAATGAAGATGAAATGAATGATTGGATATCAAAGATCAATTATGCTGCCACATTTAAAACTGCTGGATTAAAAATGAGAAATATTCGAAATCAGAATATTGGTCACCTAAGACGAAGTCTTGGAATGGGTTTGCTTGGGTACAGTCTTGATGATGCTGCAAAAGAAGCTCAAGGACGTACTAACTTGATTCGTGTATGTTCTTTTTTTTCTATAATTTTTATTCGTATTTAATAATTTATAATTTATTAAATTTAATTCATATTATTAATTTACTATTTCTTTTTTTTATAATAGTCAAAAATTACTGAGCTCCGTGATAACATTTCTACGTTAACATCTCAACTTCAAGCCGACATTCGATTTCGAAATAATCTATTTCTAATGATGCCATATAAATCATCAACAAGAGATCGTATATTAAAAGTTGCAACTTTAGTAGCCTCTCGATTAAAACATACATGTTTGGAATTAAGTAAATTATTATGTTATCATGAAATTTTGGAAAAGGATTTATGTTCAACGGTAATGGAGGATAAAACTTATTGGCAAAATCGAAGAAGTTATTTTACACCTGGTGATAATGATATGGATGATAATGTATCATCTACTGATACAATAACAAATTTTTCATCAAAACATTCAAAAAGTCATGAAATGTTTGGCAAATTATTTATTAAAGAACCAATTAATAGTAATAATAAATTACTCGAACCATTTGAAAGAAATTCGGAAACTACTACAAGACCTGCTACTATGGGTTCTTTACTTCGTGCTTCCGCATCAACTTTATCTTTAAATTCAAGTTCTGGTGAATCTAGTAGAACTTCCCTTTCAACTTATGGTGATAATGAAGAAGGTTTTGATTTTCATGGAAATGTTTCTGAATATGAACTTGATGAGCGTGATGATTGTAGTTTTAGAGATGATGCTAGTAGTATAATTGCTCTTGATGATGTAAAAGAACAATTATCATCGGTAAATGAAAATGGATGTGAAAATGATGATTATAATAATACAAGTTTACTTGATGTTGAATCTGATTTTGGTGGAAAACGTTCGGATGGAATTGAAATATGCGTAACAGAGTTTACTGAAGTTACATCTGAACATGAAGATGATTCTAATAGTCAATTTAAAATTCCACGAATTCAATCAGATCTGAAACTTAAGAGTAGACAAGATGAAAAAACAATCATGAATCCAGATTTAGAAATAATGTCAAATAATATAACGGTACCTGTTCTTGTTATATCTAAAGCTGATGATGGATTGGAATCGGGAGAGAAAACAAGTTTAAGTGATGATCTTAGTGACTACTTTGTTGATGCCGAGGAATGGAGTCGTAATTTTATTTAGTTTTGTAGTCACGTTTTTAGTTCTTGTTCGTGATTTAGAACTTTTAAATATGAATATATATACATATATATAGTCTTTTAGTTACTAAATTGTTAATATATATATTTAATATTAAACATTAATTCTAAAAAAAAAAAAAAAAAATTGAAAAATTGAAAAGTATGTTCTTTTTCCGTTTTGTATTTCTTAAGTATTATTTTACACTTGGTGCTTATGAATTATAATTTATGTCATAAAATTGATTCAAACTTGTGTTAACTCATAACGATAATGTCTAGTGATGTATCTCGCAAAAAATCTTTGCGCAAATTATATCATATGATCTTGTATCTCGCGCGAAGCACACGTAAAGAAATCTTAGCTGGTAGTGATTTATCGAATACGAAAAGAAAAGATTGAAATTACCACCAAAATTTATAATTCTCTGAACTCAATATTTGGCCTTGGATGAGGTCACCTTGTTACTTTGCGCGAAGTCTTATGATTTGTGAAATATTATGTATTCTAATCTTACTTTTCACGAAGCACACAGCTAGTAGTGCCTAATCATTTTGATTGTATGTTGCTTTGAGGCCTATCATTAGACCGTTATGAGACTTCCCTTTAATAAAGTCGGATAAAAAAAGGAGAGCGAATTTAATTTTGTAGTTTTTGATCAATTAATACCTTTTCTTTCTTATTCAATGTTAGATTTTTTAACGTCCTTACATAAAGAGTTTGCGTAAAATACATAAATACTCCTAATTTGGCACGAAATACACAAATTGTTGTTTTAATTATCATCACACTTATTATACACCTCAATCTGACGCATCCCAATTTTAAATTCGCGTCTCTTAGAATCTGATGCATATGTACATTAGGATACCCCGAACACAGAGCAAAGCAAAACCGAATGATTAAAAACTATCATGTCAATAATTATTATTTAATAAACTTTATAATTTTTATGATTGTTAATAAAGTAAACGCATTCATTCTTCGACCGAAGGTAGGGCAAGTTAGCAATAATAGTTATTTCACGAAGGTGATACTGTAAAAAAAATCCTTGGATCCATTAAGTAGAACTGTTGTGTTTAATGTTAAGGATCGAATAATAGTAAAAGATAATCTAAAGTCCGATGAACTTAAAAAAAAAAAATAGAATTAAATAAATTTCAAGCAAAAATACGGGAATTAAGGATTTAAAGGAAAACAAACATCACAGCTAATGCAATAATTTTATTTCCGATAAAGTCTGTCAAGTTATTGATAATTTTTATACTTTTTAAATATCGAGTGAAAATAATGTAAAGAAAGGTTAAAGTTACATTTAAGCTACAATAAATAGATTACTTATTCATAATAACGATAAAGTTATTTATTTGGTGAATTAATTAGCATGAAACATTTAGAGTTTTTTTGCTAATCTGAAATATCTCATATTCATCTACCGAAAAATATAATCCATTATTTTCGTATGTAGATGCATCTCTAATTCGTTTTTCATATGATTCTTGGCAATTCCAACATTGACGATTTTGATTAAAATTATTCCTCATAGCTAAATCATGACCACTACCAAAAATTGGTCCACAATCACTATTACAACAAATTGCATTTCCCTGATCTTTAACACGACTTAAAATGGAATTTTGAATTGTACCATTTTTCAATGAAAAAATAAAGCTATCATTGCAATTCTTATAGAGCCACGTTTTATCTGGTTTATCCCATCCAATAGGATTATATCCACCAAGAATCTCATCGGTACCATTAACCTTCATAACTACAACAAGATGTGTTTGTTTATCACATAAATTCCAAAATGAATCCTTAGTAAAACCATCTCTAGTTCCACGAAGAATTAATTTAAATTCATATGGATTACTTGTTACAGAATATGCATTATCTTTTTTATCAACCCACGAAGCAATTTCTGCTGCTTGTTCTTCATTGATAACTGTCGAAAATGGTTCAGTATTTCTAATCGGTAATGTTGGCTTTAAAATTACACGAGGCGGAAGGATTATTGATGATACTTGTCTGTTTGGTAACATAAGCTTGTTTGTTATATCTTTCCAAAGATTTTTATCCAGAATTTGTTGATATGGTTGTACATTATCAATAATATCAGCTGCAGATATATGAAAATAACGGATGAGAGGCAAACAATTTTGCAATGTGGTCTTTAAAGCTAGAACGTTTTCATTGGTCCAATCTTCAGGATCTGATGGTAAGCCGGGGTTTTGTGCAATCCCCCATTTAATAACATGATTCCAAATTTTTACCTCTTCCATTTGTAAATCATCTCGACTAATAAGCGAAACTAACGCATTTTCTTGAAGCGAAACAAAATCTTCTGATTCAAAAATCTTATCAGGATATTTTACCACAATATC